AAACAGGCAAGTTGTCTCCTAGTTTCATTGGACCATTTCAGATTTTGGAGCGCGTCGGTGAAGTTGCTTATCGTTTGGCGTTGCCGCCAGACCTGGATAAGGTTCATGACGTCTTTCATGTCTCTATGTTGAGAAAGTACGAGCTAGATCCATCGCATGTTTTACGGTGGATAGATATTGTTGTTGATGAAGATGTGACCTATGAGGAGGGTCCAGTCCAAATTCTTGATTCACGGGAACAGGTCTTACGGACCAAGACCATCCCATTGGTTAAGATCTTGTGGAGACATCACGACGTTGAGGAGGCTACCTAGGAGCTCGAATAGGAGGTTCGCTCTCGGTGTCCCAATTTGTTCTCTCTTTCAGGTATGACTTGATTTCGGGGAAGAAATCCTTTTAAGAAGGGTAGGTTGTAATGACCCGGTCATTTTCCTTCCTTTCTTTTTTTTTCGGTAATTTCTTTTTTCGTCCTTTTCCCTATTTCATCTTTTCCTCATTTATCGTTTTTCTTTGCATAACCTCACTTTACGTGTTCGGATTTGATTTCAGTTTTGCATACATCCATAATATCTGATTTCCAAGGTATTTGTATTTTTACTTTTGTAGGAAATCATGCTAGTTGCTTACTTTTTTCATAAAGGGCATGGATGCATACTTTCTTGTAAACATTCTTGATTTTTGGGGTTTTAGTTTAATTATGTAAAATAATTATTTTTCGCCTTAGGGACCATTTTGTAATTTTATTTGGAAGATATTTTGGAAAATGACCTTTTTGCAATTTTTGAAAAGTGTGACAAGTGTCACACTCTCATGGTGCCACTTGTTGGCATTAGGGTGGAGTGACTTGGAAGCTTAATCTCTTAACATTTGGAAGGTGGTGATTCACCAACTTATTGGCATAGGATAGGTGCACTTATTGGCTTGGATGGTTGATAAGTGTAGGCTTAGGATTAAGCCTAGGAAGGAGCCACGGATTGGTGACAAATGTAGGCACCAAATTGAGTCTTGCATTGTGTGTGTGAGAGATGTAGTGTAAGAACACTTAGTGAGTGGAGGTATACTAGATCCTCCACCTACCACATTTCATTTATCTCATCTTTATTCCTTTTTGTTCTCATCCAAACCTAGCCTTCATTGAAGGAAAAGCTTGGCTTAGAGCTTTTGACTTCATTTTGGCCTCCTTCCACTCACCTTTGACCTTAAACCTTGGGAAATAAAAGTTTCCTCTCACTTTCCTCTACAAAACCCTATAATTGTTTTCCATTTTAAAGCTTGGTTGCTTGGATTATAGAGATTTAATTCTCTATTGAGGTAGGGGTGGTAGTATGTTTATACTTTGAGAGTTTTATGACCTTTGAGGTTTAATATATATTGTGTACATGCTTTTAATATTGTAGTCTTGCATATTATAGGAAATCCTCACATGTGACTTAGGATTTATTGATTTAAGCATGTATGATAATTCTATATTCTTGTTGATTGTTTTTAGTATATAAAGCTTATTGTTAAAGCATAATTAAATTGATAAGTTAGTGGTATTGTTTTACACAATATATCATGATGAGGACTTGTCATTTATTATACCATTCTAGACTTGGAACCTTAAGATATGGTTTGTGTGGTTTCAAATTACTTGTACATGGAAAGTGGATTACATACCCAGATTTTTGCTCTCTGTTTTATCGTTCAGAGGTCAGAATGTCAGAACACCTGACCATGTAAGTTATAACGTCTGAACGTCATAACGTCAGAACGCCTCACCATGTAGGTCAGAACGTCCGAACGTCCAAACGCTTGACAGGTCATAACGCCTGATTATTGTATATAAGTTTTGAACTTAATCATGATTGTGGATTCTCTTGGGACATTGTTGTAATTCATATGGCTAGAGTTTGGCTCTAGTGCGGGAGGTACAAGTTCTCCCCATTTTGTATAGTGCGGACTAGGGTAGTATTCCCAGCAGGTTAATGCCCGGAATAACCGTTTAGGTCTTGGTTTACTCCGAGATTTGATGTCCAAGTTTTTCCACTTTTTTGTTTCGCATTCAATTCCAAGTTGACAACCAATGCTTAATTGTGACTTGTAATTTTGGTTATTGGCGATTTGATGTTGTTTAGTACATCCATATTGATGTTGTGTTCTTAAAGAATCATTTAAGTTAGCTTAAGATGATCCTTTAGAACACCATGAACATAGACGTTAAGTGGAATGATCCCTTGTATTCGTCTATATTGATCTTGCAATGATATTAAAACTTTAGGGTATACACATATGTTTCTTCCTACAAGTAACTTGATTACTCACCCTAGTTGTTTGGGTTATTTTACAGGTAAAGAGACAATGTTCTCGGATGCTCATCATCCTTAGAGGTTTATGAGCACTTTGGAATATTTTTATGTATTGACATGCAAATGTTTAGTATGCTTACTTTTGATGTTATATTTTTGCATATCATGGATGTATCGTATTTTAGAAGCTAAGATGGCTTCTTTGATGTGTAATGTGTATCTAAGAACACTTGAAGATGCCTATTTTGTATCTATAACATGAGGCCAAGGGCCATAAATTTTAAAGTTCACAGAACTATGCTTTTTTAAACTTGTTTTGGGTCATTTGGAATGCATGTATAGCTTAAAGGTTAGCCTTAAATCTGTTTCTGTTTTATTGTTTGGCTGTCTTCTTATTTCTGCTTTGTCGTTCGGAGGTCAGAATGCCTTACTATGTAGGTCAGAACGTCATAACATCCAAACGCCTAACCATATAAGTCCGAAGGCTTGACCACGTAAGTCCGAAGCGTCAGAACGTCCGAACGCTTGACCATGTAGGTCAGAATGCTGAACATGTAGGTCCGAACGCCTGACCATGTAGGTCAGAACGTCCGAAGGCTTAACCATGTAAGTCCAAAGGCTCGACCACGTATGTCCGAAGCGTCAAAACGTCCGAACGTTTGGCCATGTAGGTCAGAGTGCTGAGCATGTAGGTCCGAACGCCTGACCATCTAGGTCAGAACGTCCGAAGGCTTAACCATGTAAGTTCAAAGACTTGACCATGTAAGTCCGAAGGCTTGACCATGAAGGTCAAAGCGCCTGACCATGTAGGTCAGAACGTTAGAACGTGATAACGTCCGAACGCCTGACCAAATAGGTCAGAACGACCGACCATGTATGAGTGCCGAACAGGTGCTCAATGTTGAGTGTCGAACGGGTGCTCAGAACCTTCCTTTTCTTTTGCTTTGTTCATCTTTCGCTCCGCATTTCGGATCCGTTACTAGGTCATCTTTTGGTCATCACTGACGCACCAGGTTTGTAAAACTTGGGCCGTCACATTTTGGGTTGGATTGCAAAATGGGGCGGAGCCAGGATTTTATTTCAGATGGGGCATAATGAACTTGTTCAAAGAAAAAAAAAATTCAATAAATATGACAAATATATATTTTTTAAATCAAAAGGCAAACAAGAAAAAAAAAATAAATGTAAAATAATATGCTAAATAAATACTGTAAAAAAATATAATTACAAATATAAGACTCAAAATATTAATTAATAATATTTTAATTATATACAATCCCAAATATCATCGGTAAAAGAAATAAGTGGAAAATATAGAAAAATACATAATCATACACAAGTGAAAAACGAAATTTTTTGAAAAATGAAACAAAAATTAGGAAAGGAAAAATATATGGTATACTTGAATAAGAGGGATATATGTAACTTTTTTTTTTTCAAATGGAAATTAGAAGAATTTAAAAAATTTAGGAGGGGCACTATATAAAATTACCATATAAGTATATGTATATAGCAAAAATATATACCTATGTATAGTAGGTTAAAGCAAGGGCAGTGAGGCACCTCCCCCTCTGCGCCTTATTTGGCTTCGCCCCTGTCGCATAGTACCTGACCCATTACACTTGGTATCAAAGAATCAAATCAATTTTTTATCTGGTGTCATGCCAAGTGTCCGATCCAAAAATGTTCGGATACCCTACTTAGAAAGGCAAGGTGGCCCCATCAGATTCGGATGGGAAGAGTAACTGTTACACTAGGCTAGTGTATTTAAGAAATGAACTTAACTAACCAAAGAAAATTGAGAATACGGAAAACAAAATGATTACAAATTACAATATATCTTAACTTCATTCTAGCAATCAACTTTTGAAAAGTTCAAGTAACTTCAAAATTTGAAATAAAATACATCAAAAATAATTTGAAATAAAAGGTGAAGTCTAGTATTATTGGATTAAAAAATATTTAACATTTAGAATCTAAAATGAAAGATGAAATTCATGGTTCGCAATATCGGTTATAATTGCAGGCACAGTGTAACGGATACGGACAAAGTCAGTATAAATTCGCCAATACGAATCGCGTATCGAACTTGAAAAAAGATTGTTTATCGGTCGATACGTCAGGTATTGGACGATACGGCGAACCATGATAAAATCTAAAACACATTGTCAAAAGAGAAAATGTAAGAAAACCAGAATAAAAGCTGAATTATACTAAAGTTGAACAAACAGTCATACTAAATTAGCATGAAATTTAAAAATATATGCATACATATATAGAGAGAGAAACTATACCATTGGATATGACATCTTGATCAATCAAAGATAGGGTCTCAAAGAGAAAATTTATCTGAAATTTTTGAGAAAGAAAAAGGATGAAGCCTGAAGTGTGAGTGAGAGAGAGAATATGAAGTGATAAAATTTACATAAGGATATGATTATTTTAATAGGTAATGAGTATGCTTATCATTAATTTCTTTAAACCGATAATAGCATGAGCCCGTTCATTTAGTCCCATCTCTTGAGTTTAAATAGCACCACTCTTAATCAAATCAAATTAGGCATAAAATTTATGTGAAATTTCACAGCAGATTGTGGACAAAAAATGTGTGGTCCAAAAAATAATAAATAAAATCCACAATGTGTATACTGTATACAGTGTATTGAGAACTCTACCAAAGCATGCGTAAAATAATAAGGTACTAGATTATAAAAGGATGAGAAAAGAAAACGGGGGACAATTTGCGGTTTGGAAACCCTCGTCGGCACAGACATATCCCTGCATCCAAACAGACACTATTGTGTGGGAAATGAAATGCCAAAATTGAAAGGACAGAGGAAAGAAAGAGATCGCCTTAGTTTGGAGGTTAGGGTTTTATATTTGGGCAAGAGGAGAGAGGGGTTTCGAAAGTGGTCGTCAATGGCTGGCGTTTTATAATTCATTCCTCTTAAATCTCTCAGGTTTTGATTTGCTGCCGCTGGTGGTGACGAGAGAGATTACTTCAAGAACCAAATACGTGCGAATCAAAGCGACCATCGATTCGATTCAGAGGACAGACAACAATTTAAGATTCCCAATTTTCCTGGGATGCCCTCCCTCATCACTGCTCTCAACTCTTCTTCATCTACTCACAAAGCTCGAGTGGTAAATCAACACTTCTCTCTTTCTTTCTTCTCTCCCTCTCTCTCTCTCTCTATATATATATATATATATATATTTTTTTTTTTTTTCTCAATTGGTATTCACGTACTCATGTCTCTACTGAGACTCGAATTCCTGACCTTTCTTTGGAAGAATTCCTGACTTCCCTTTGAAAAGTAGGAGTTTGGTACCCTAAGCCAGCCCTATTGGTATATATATATATATATATATTCTGAACAACTACCAATCCTGATGATGAAGAAATGGATTTGATTTACCCCATTGGTGACATTCAAAGGACAGAACAATATCTCGCCTCCCATTGCTTGCTTGTTAAAACATACATTGTTGTATTCTTTTCTTGAATAATTAGGAGAATCAAAATGAGCTTTTCTTGAATAAATGGGAGAATCAATTTTTCTTTTTCATTTTTTTTCTTTTTTTCTTTTTTTTTTGCTATGTTGCTCTTCTTGGTGTGCATGATGTAGAAAAAGTAGCTACTACTTGTTCAGAATCCACTCCTAAGGAGAGTGCAATATGATATATATATATATATATATATATATATATCTGTACATTTCATAACGCATTATTCCATATATCATTAATATGGTGTCTACAATATGATGTTGATCATATATTTAATTAAGTAGTTGTTAGTTGTTGAGAATCTTCATCCCTAAAGAAGGCAATGTGAATCACGTGACTCCATAAGACAATTGAAATGAGATGCTAGACCTGCCAGACAAGGAAAATCTGCGTAGGGAATCCACATTTTACCAAAGCAAAAGTTTTGTCCCCAAGAGGCAAAGAAGCAATCAGTGTACACATGAAGATACAAACTATCCAAAGGTCCCCTGGACTTTCCCAAGTATCAAACAAAAATGTATTTATACCTCATCTCTACTGGGATGTTCAAACCATCATCATTGCTAAGAACATCAAACTATCATCTACTTCATTCACCAGTTTATTTTCTTCCATATTCGCAATGTCTGAACAAAGGCCGGCATTCCGTTTTCGGCTCCCATGGCTACCAACAGCACCAGCTGCTCCACCTCCTCCCCCTACAACTGAAACTCCAGCTCCTACCCAACCCACAACCACAACTGCACCCACCCAACCTGCCCCCGCAACTTCAGCTCAAAGGCCACCATTTAGGCCTGCTGGGTTAGCTCCGGTGCAACCTCCTCCACAAGCTCAACCATCAACAAGAACCGAGTCTCAGCCACCTTCACCGGCTCGTGGAGCAAGTCAGTCCAGAGTCGCTTCTCAACCCTCATCACCATCTCGTCCTGCAACACAGTCCCGAGCTACCTCTCAACCCTCATCACCGTCTCGTCCTGCAACACAGTCCCGAGCTACCTCTCAACCCTCATCACCGTCTCGTCCTACAACACAGTCTCAAGCTACCGCTCAACCCTCATCACCATCTCGTGCAACTCCTCAACCTCGACCTGCATCTCTGCCTTCATCACAACCAGCTTCTCAACCTCGAGCTGCATCTCAGCCTTCATCACAACCAGCGCCTCAGCCTCGATCTCCATCCCGTTTGGCCTCTCAACCTGCAGGCCAAACACCCCCACCACCTCCGTCATTGACGCCCACTCAAATGCAACCAACAGAAGGAGCAATCACTCAGCCCCCATCACCACCAAAAAAATTAGAACCCACAACTCCAAAGAGCCCTCAACCTACTCCCAGTACCACTCAGCCCCCACCATCTGCCGCTCCAGAAAAACCAGTGCCAGCAAAATCTCAAACAGAATCAAAAGAGCCTCTGCCAAAGACAGAAATTATATCCACCAATGTTCGGAGCACCCAAAACCAAACCCCAGCTGAAAAAACCATCCAACCTGAAGGGATGGCACCACAATCTTCTGAAGTGTTGCAACCTATAGCAGCGACGCCAACCACAACACCTCCAGCCCCAACTGAAAAACGAGATTCTTCTAGCACTACTGCTGACACTAAGCCCTTTCCAGAATCAGTTGGAAAGATTGAGGAAACTCAAAAAGGGCAGGAAGAAGTGCAAGAAGTTGGAAAAGAAGGGAAGACTAATGGAGCAGCAATTGAGGAACCAAAGCAGAGGGCAACTACCGAGCCGTTGACTGTAACATCAAGCTCAGATGCACCAGCCAAAGAGCAGCCAACTGTTCCATTTCAAGCCGAACAAAAGCGGCCAGGTCTTGACACAAAGGAGAGATCACCCACATCTGGCTCTGACAAAAGACAAGAGGTCAAGGATGTGAAATCACCTCTGAAGGACAAAAACACAGTGAGTGAATCGCGTCAAAAACCATCTGTAACCAATGGCGAACGAGTCCCTCTGCAGAAAGAGCTCAAAGATGATGTTTCTAAGTTTCTCCTTAAGATGGGTACCGGGCAAACAAAGCATCCCATGGATGACAAGCCAGCTACTGTCATAACTCTAGCCGGTGAAAATAGAGGAGCTTCCATGCAACTTGGTTCTGATTCAGCAAAAAGAGAAGGCTCAATCCACATTCGCAGGGGCTACAAGACCAACCCCGATGAGACTGCTGACAGTACTACCACTGACGGAGAAGGAAGCTCTCGACGGAGGTCAAAAGATGCAAGAACCACCAAAGATGAAACAACAAAGGCATATGTGAACAGCAACGCACAAGGTATAAATAACTCAATTGTGTTCAACAGTTCTGTTAATGAACAAAGCCCTGGTGTCAAACTATTTATCTCTCACAATCCACCTCCTGTCAAGCCAAGTAACAGAACAGAGTCCTCTCTTGACGCCCACAAGGCCAGATTCAGCATCACTCCTGCCCAGAAGCTCACCTATGAGCCCACTGTCAAAAGGAGATGTCTCAGAGGACTTTTCATGGAATCAAGTGATTCTGATCCTGATAATCCCGAAAAGCCTCGGCGTCATGGTTGTCGCTACAACTCCACAGAGAAGAGGAGTCCTAAAGATGGCGAGATTGATGTTCTCTAACTGAGTAAATTACATCAGTACTTGATGATGCATAGCTGCATACTGGTATTATATAAAATTTATGTCTACATATGACAATAAACACTTTTCATAATAAATATGTAATAAGGATGATACATCATCCACTATTTAAGTACTTTTCTGTTGCCAATCATTTGATATTTGTTAAGGAATGTGCTAAGTAATACAATTTACATTCAAATATCAGTATTGGATTACAGAAGGATTCACATGTACAAACAATTAAGAAATTGTTCTGAGAGTCTGTGACTGAATGACTATCTGAGTTTCTGCAGAGTTGAACATTAGAATCTCCGGAAGTGACAAAGTTGTATACTCTGAAGAACTGTTGCAAGACTTGTCATTCAGTATTTAAATAGATATTTTAACTTAATTTGTTTGCTTTAACTTCAAAAATATATATAATAAATAAATAAATAATTTCGGTATTATATAACGGACAAAGCTTTAAAATGTAGCTTTTGCTGGTTTTTATTTATTTATTTTAGCTTTGGCTGAAAAGCCTATGACAGACTTTATTCTATACTATACTTTTATATAAATGTCAGTATAATTTTTATTTTGTATGAACATTTTTTTAGTGAATATAGTATATATTAAGTAATTTATATATAATTTTTAATAATTAATTAATCCGGGTGTCCATTGACATTCCTATATTTTGTAAACATTTTTTAATGACTAATAAATCAGATATATTTATATTTTTGTCTTTATAAAGTGTGGCCACCCACATTCTTACTTTTATATACATTTATAATGATAATTAAACATATATTTTATTTTTAATGAATATTAATCACATATTTGCTTTATAAAGATTTTCTTCTCTAAATTTCAGGCACACGCACACCCAATTTGGTTGTGGATATTATACATTGATGATATTGTTTTTATTTATATATTTTTTCTTAGTTGGTACTCACACACGTGTCTTCACTGAAATTCGAACTCTGACCTCTCTTTAAAAAATAAGGGCCTGATAGGCTGATACCGATCACTAGCCTGTTGGTCATTTTCTTTTCTTTTTCCCCAAAAATATTATATTTTGTGGTAAGATAATAGTTTTAATTTACTTTTTTTTTTCTTTTTTTTTTTTTCATCTTTGAATAATCTAAGTTATTTTCTATCTGTCAACACTTTCATAGCTCAGTGGTCGGATTACTTCGAGCATTGGCACTTTCTAATCTAACATTAAAACAAACATAAAATTTCTTTTCTATTTGGCTTATGTAAAATGTGCATAGCCCGTGCACTTTTATTCATGTGTGTGTGTGTGTGTCTATATTTCGTTATTTATTGATAATCGATGCTGGTGAAATTTTATATGAATCATTTAAAATTTTGGGTAAAGTACAGCCACACCCCCTGAGATTTGGCAAAATGACACTTAAAGGAAACTTATTTGTTTTTTGGATAAAGATACCCCCCGAAGGTTCAAAAATGGACAAAGACAACCCTTTACAGGAGAAATTGACCAAATTACCTTTTGACCATTTAGAAGACTTTTTTAACTTTACAATTTAATAAATTGGACCAATTTACCCTCATGAACAATTTATGCATAAAAAAAAAACAAAAAAAAACTTTATAATATTCACTTTTTTTTTTTAAATGTCCCAACTTCTTAAAAATGTAGACGTCTAAAATAATTTTTTGATCCAATACATATATTTCAAATAAATTATATTTTGCTATTACTTCTTTTCTTTTTCTTTTTTATTTTTAAATTAAGATGCTTAATTCTTTCATCTAAAAAAATTAAACCAATCTCTTTTCTTTAAAAATAAAAAAATATGGTACCGGTATAACTTTATGCATCTTAAATAATATATTAAATATTATGCATTTCATAATATAAAAGGGAAAAAAAAATAGTAAAACAAGGAAAAAAAAAAAAAACAAACAAACAAAGGCATGCATAAAGTTAAGATACATAAAGTTATACTGGTATCTATTTTCTTTTATGTTGGGAAATGTATAATATTTGATATATAATTTAAGATGTATAAAGTTATACTGGTATCATATTTTTTATTTTTAAGGAAAAAAGATTGGTTTAATTTTTTTAGATGAAAGAATTAAGCACCTTAATTTAAAAATAAAAAAGAAAAAGAAAAGAAGTAATAACAAAATGTAATTTATTTGAAATATATGTATTGAATCAAAAAATCATTTTAGACGTTTATATTTTTAAGAAGTTGGGACATTTATAAAGTAAAAAAAAAACAAGTGAACTATATAAAGTTTTTTTTTTTAACTTTTTTTTTTATGCATAAATTATTCATGAGGGTAGATTGGTCCAATTTATTAAATTGTAAAGTTAAAAAAGTCTCTTAAACTGTCAAATGGTAATTTGGTCAATTTTTCATATAAAGGGGTGTATTTGTCCAAAAAATACGTAAATTTCCTCTGAGTGTCCTTTTGTCAAATCTAAAGGGGTGTGGCTGTACTTTACCCTAAAATTTTAGTTATTATATATATATATATATATATATATATATATATATATATATATATATGTAAGTGGGCTCCACTCATATTTATCCCAAATATTAGCTTACAAGAGAAACTCCTTACTTAACTTATAGAAGAAGTTCATTACTTAGCTTACAAAGGAAGCTCGTTATCTAGCTTACAAAAGAAGTTCCTTACTTAGCTTATAGAAGAAGCTCATTACTTAGCTTACAAAGAAAGCTCATTATCTAGCTTACAAAAGAAGTTCCTTACTTAGTTTACAGAAGAAGCCCATTTTTTAAGCTATATATATCTCCTGTGAACTTGTGTTTGAGTGATGTACTTGGCAAGTGAATAAAAGAAAACTTTTCACTTTACTATTTTCTGCCTCATTATGCTTTAATCTTAGTTTAATTCTTGGTATATCTATAACACGTTATCAGCACGAGCTCTAACCATCTAAGATTTGAATAAGAAACTCTCTCTCCCACTTTCTATCTCAACTTTATATATCTCTTTTGTGATATTAGTCTTGATAGATTGTTGGGTTTGTTTACTTTACTGAAACAAATTGTATTCCGACTCCAAAGGGTAGCATTATGCTTTAATCTTAGTTTAATTCTTGGTATATCTATAACACGTTATCAGCACGAGCTCTAACCATCTAAGATTTGAATAAGAATCTTTCTCTCCCACTTTCTATCTCAACTCTATATATCTCTTTTGTGATATTAGTTTTGATAGATTGTTGGGTTTGTTTACTTTACTGAAGCAAATTGTATTCCGATTCCAAAGGATAGGAGAATCTTATTTATTTATTATTTAAGATCTACTAACTATGGTCGGTTTTACCTCTTTTATTATTTAATGATCTACTAATTATGGTCGGTTTTACCACCTTTATTATTTAATGATCTACTAACTATGTTCGGTTTTACCGCATTTATTATTTAATGATCTACTAACTATGGTCGGTTTTACCGCCTTTATTATTTAATGATCTACTAAGTATGGTCAATTTTACCTCTTTTATTAACTAATGATCTACTAACTATGGTCGGTTTTACCATTTTTATTATTTATTAACCATGGTCGGTTTTACCACCTTTATTATTTATGATTGATTTTGCCGCTTTTATTATTTAATAATTTATGAACGGTTTTACTACCTTTATTGTTTAATAATTAATTCAATATGGCTGGTTTTATATTGTTGTTTCACTTAATGCCATTTTATTGCTAAGATATATGTTTATTTTTATATAATGCTAAATCGTGTTCTTATATTCTAAAAATGTCAAACTTGACAAAGTTGGAATTCGTGGCCTTGAACATTTCTGGCAAAAAAAAAAAAAAAAAATTATTTATCTTGGATTATGGATGCTCAGATCCATTTAGATACCATAGGTCTTGGAAACACAATTCAAGAAGAAAATGATGCATCATTACAAGATAAAGCGAAACCCATGATATTCATTCGCCGCTATATTAGCAAGGAGCTAAAAACTGAATACCTCACTAAAAGAGATCCACTGAGTTTATGGAAAATTTTGAAAAAAGGATACGATCATCTAAAGTATCGTAATCATCTCAAAAGTTCAGTATGCAAGAAATGCAACTACAGTTGCAGGATTATGTAATTATTGGCAAATATAATTCGGCATTGTTTATAATCAGCTATATTGAGATAATGTGGAGAAATAATTACTCATGAGTATAGGTTGAAAAAAACATCATTCACTTATCACACTAAGTGCATAGATTTATGAAATATTTGATGTGGAGGAAAATATTATTGAAAGGATATTGATAAAGAGATAGTCCATTTTTCACGCCAAGAGCGTAGATTGATGAAATCTTTTATGTGAAGAAGATATATATTGAACAAGTGATACTCCACTAATCATGCTAAGTGTGTAAATTTATGAAATATTTAAAGTTGATATCATGCATGCTTATGCCAGAACAAAATAAATAGCTTTTATTGAGAAATTTTCAGTCCGACCGGATCGAAAACTATCCCTAAAACAAATACGGCTTCATTTCGTGGTCATGGATGTGGTCGTGGGTATAATCGTGGCAGAATTAACTACCAACACTATGGAGGTTATAATTCGAATTTCACACGGTATCCCTAAAGGTCGAACCAAAATAATATGAAATAAGCAAAGGGGGTGAATTTTCCTTAACCCCCTATGGCACATGAAATTACTTGTTATAAATGAGGAATTGATTAGTGTGAAATTGCTTATTATCAATGCAAAATCTAAGAGGAAAATGCCACATACTTCTTGCACTTCCAAGTATTTAACTGATCTTTACCAAGTCTCAATCAAAGAAAAGGGGACAAAGATGGAAATGAATTTCATATGATACTCGTGGACATTTCAGATTTCTATAAGCAAAACTAATCTTTTGATTAGTAATGAAATTATTGACACTGCTTATTTATACTTCCTTTTACCACATATGTTAAGCATGCTTTTATCTATATCAAAGTTGCTTTTGACATTTGAATATGAAGTTTACATATTTGAGTAGGCATGGATTTGACTAATACATTAACTTAACGTAAGGACATATCCATTCGATAATGAAAATATTTTTCCCACTAAAATGAAAGTAATGTAGAATATATATGTATCATTTCCATTACCTATTATAAGAAACATATAATAGAAAATCTTCATTATTTCTCTTATGGGTATTATTATACCACCAAAAGCATGTTTGTTTATTTTATACTCATTCCCTTATCTGTTTATGAAATATGTTGAACCCCTGACATTAGATGTCTTTAAGGTACGATGTGCCGATTATCATTTTA